GGTTTTTATATTTTTTTGTGCTAATGAGACACTTCTTTCATATTAACATATTTATATGTGTTCTCATTGTCCTTTTGTATGTGAGTGGTGTTTAGCATATTTTTCATCTATGCTTGCTCACATATGTTTGCCATGATCTTCATTTCACATATTCTATATGGCATTTTGATAGGGGGAGCAATCCCTATATCTTTCTATTATTTTTCATCTATGCTTGCTCACATATGTTTGCCATGATCTTTATTTCATATATCTTCTATATGGCATTTTGATAGGGGGAGAAATCCTCATCCCTATATTTGCTTTGTACTCACCCATGCTTATTGATAGGGGGAGCTTTCGCTCTCTTATTCTTTTTGTCCCCTTTTTGATGTTGTCAAAGGGGGAGAAATATTGTGAGTATATTCTTTCTTGTTTATATGCATGTGAATTATAAATTATATATTTATTTTCTTCATGCATATATTTCTTTTTGTAAATTGTTTGTCATCATCAAAAAGGGGGAGATTGTTGGCCTTCTTGTTTTGATGATGTTTAACAAACAATTTACCACTAATGTTGTTTGTCTAGTATTTGTGTTTTCTTATTTATTATAGACAAACAACGTTGTTGGAGGTTGGATGGATTGAGCCTACACGATCATATCAAGAGGAGGTTGGCGGAATAGTGGAGTGAAGTATTGCATTCAAGTTCAAGATCCAAGTTTTAGCTTCATCCGCAAGTGTACCAAGATAGAGCTTCGTTGAAGATCACAAGCTTGGGTATATTTAGTTTAGGTTTTTATACTTGTGTGTTGATACTTTAAGCTCATATTATTCACACACACGTATTTGTTGATTTTATCAAAATATAGGTGTTTTTGTGAAAACATTATTTTATTAGTTTATAGACTTTAATATCAGTTTATACATAGTTTATAAAGTTTATAAAATCATTTTGTAGAGTTTCAAAAGTTTGTTTAAATCAAATGTCAAAACATGTATGTTTCGTTTTCATGTTTTTGGACATATTTGAAAAATGATGGGTTTTCACTATTGGGGAATGCAATTCCAAAAATTCTTTTTGTAACATGTTTATTATCATGTTTATAAACATTTTCCAAAGTTTCATAATTTTTGGAATTTATTTGTTATTTTTAAAGGCACTTTAAAAATCAGTTTTCCAGCATGAACAGTGCCTGTGCATGTTTATAAGTCGACTTATAAACCCTGACAAGTCGACTTATGAACTCCTCTAGAAAGTGCATTTTCTCCTCTGCTAAGTCGACTTATAAAGCAAGGCAAGTCGACTTATATAAGTCGACTTATAACTTTTTATAAGTCTACTTATGAAGTGTTGCACAGTTATGTATTTTTGACCAGTTTACAAAATAAATTATTTCTCTCAAATGGGAAGTGATATTTAAGAAATTCCTTCTCTAACATGTTCATATACACGTTTAGAAGCTTCCCTAAAAATTTTATAATTTTTGGAGTTAATTTACTGTGTCAAATTGATTTTAGAAAATCGGGTGTTTCAGCAGTTTTTAGAATCTGAAATATCTGTATTCAAATATTCATTTCTCACAAATGAGAAGTGATATTTCAGAAATTATTTTTGTAAAATGTTTATTTACATGTTTAGAAACATCCCTCAAAATTTCATAATGTTTAGAGTTGATTTACTATTTTTAACTGATTTTACAAATCCAGATACGCATAATTTTCAGCATCTGCCAAAAACTGTATATGTCATAAGTCGACTCTAAGTCGACTTATCAGAGAGCCGTTGCACAGTAACGGCTAGTTTTCTGTTTTGTTTGTTTTTGGGTTTTTGGTCATTTCCTTGGGGTTTTGGCTGATGTCTTGGGTTGTTATAAATACCCCATTGCATTTACCTCTCCCATCTAACAAGAACAACTAAGAGAGTTTTAAAACAAGTTTAAGAAAGTTTTAATCAAGGGTTTAAGTTTGTTTAAAGTGTGTTTATAAGCTTTTAAGCATTTGAGTGTTTCGATTTTGTGAATCAAATTCCACAAGAGCTTGAGGAGATTATCTATTGAAGTTTGAGCTTCCAACTATCATCCCTCCATCTCTTGTTATCAAATTGAGAAGTTTTCTAAACTCAAACTCTAGCTTTACATTTATATACTTGTTTTATTATCATTGTTCTTAAGCTAGATTTTATATTTGAGTTTAGTTGATTTGATTTATACTCATTGTTACACACACCCACATTGAGCTTTTAGTATTTACATACATAGTATAGTTGGGTGGTGAGAGGTTGTAACTTTGAGTTGTGCTTTAATTGTGTTCTCATCCATATTAGAGAACAAATTATATTTGTTGCATTGTGAGATTGTTAGGTTTTCGGTGAGCTAGAAACCGAGTGTGTTGTGAGGTTTTCGGTGAGCTAGAAACCGAGTGTGGGGTGAAAGTTTTCGGTGAACTAGGAAACCGATTGTGAGGAGTGACGTTGATCGGTGAGCGTTGAAAACCGATACTGTGAGGTGTAAACGTTGTTCGGGTGAACGTAGAAAACCCGGTTGTGATAGTGGATTTCTCCCCGGGAGTGGGGAGCGGAGACGTAGGACGGAAGGTCCGAACTCCGTGATCATATCGTGTGTTTGTGATTGCATTGGCGTTCTTATTCTTGTTTTCATATCTTATATCGCCTTTGTGTATTGCTCATCATATTACCCTATCACTTGTGTAGATTGTTTATTTTACCCTTGTGTTAGTTTATATATCCTTGCATATATATATTCATCATATAGGATATATCTCATTGTGTATATTGCTTATTCTTGCACATATCTCTTTATATATCTACCTTGCAAGAATACAACTTGTTAATTATTTTTAATTGGCATATTAGAGCCTTTTGACCCTAATCACCCCCCTCTAGGGTCTAACATAAATTAGTTTGGAAATGATAACTGCACTAAATAGATAAATAAGGTGATAATCTACAAGTTGCCTAAGAACATATGGCTTTTATATTTTTTAAGTTTTCAATAGATTGGTATGGTTTTTCTCAATAAACATGACATAGGATTACTTTCCTTGAGAGATCTAGCTTAATCTGTACCATGATGAAATATCACTACTTATATTAAGCCACTTTTAAACCTAAATAATTTACATCTTCAAAATTTAGTACAAATTTACTTTGAAGTTCAGATATTTTAGATATAAATTTTTAGGAGCTTTAGTTTCAAGAAAATTTAGGTTCCCCTAAGTCCGAAAAAAAGTTATTTTGAAGTGTAGAAAATAAAATAAAAAGATAATTATCGAGAAAATTTATCAATTACACCCTATTTATAAAAAAAATCTATTCCAAAAAATAATGAATATTTAGAATAAAAAATTACCATTTATTCATGTTCTCCATAATTTTTATTTTAAGATTAAAATTTTATAAATTCAAGAAAATTTACCTTGAAGATCAAACCCTTAAATTAAGAGATTGCAATAGAGGTTTAGATTTAAGAGAGTTTAGTTTACCCCTTAAATTCCATAACCTTTTTTTAGAAATCCATAATATAGAGGTTTACATAATAAACCATCTTTGCAAAATTTATCTAACCAATTCTTTTTTTTTAGAAAATTTGATATTTATCCCATTTACTTCTAGATAAAGAAAAGTTAGTAATTACAAAACCTTAGAATTTAGGCAAACTATTATAAACCCTAACCTCAAAACTAATAACTAAATTATACATGGCAATGAGCTCACATACAACACACCAGCAGAGAGAGAGAGAGAGAGAGAGAGAAAGAGATGAGATGAGTCAGAGAGATGACGAGACGAGAGTAGAGGAGAGAGGGAGAGAGAGGAGAGAGAGGAGGAAAGGAACCTTTATGTCAACTTAAGTAGACAAGAGATATTTGTCCATCAAACTCTATATACAAAATATTCTTCATACTTATATGGATCCCTAGTATCATCAGATGGGGAATAGAAAGTTTGGGTTAGGATGATGCAACTAATAAGTTTGGAACAATCAGAATTTATCTCTCTCTCTCTCATTCTAGCTTGGCTTATTTAATATGAATTGCTTATATCATATTGAACCTGGTGCATATATATACCTACTCAATGAACACGGATAGAAAGACCTTTAATAATATATTATAATGTGATTAGCTTACTATTTCTACTAAATTTTTTTTTTTTTTGTTGAAAGGTGGCTAATATGAGCTGTTTTATAGCTGTAAGTATATATAGCTATACTATATATATATCATCTATATACATCGACATAGAGAAACGTGGACAATGAAGTGTCAATTTATGCATCTTTTATATGCTATAAAATCCAATTCATCTCTAGTTCACTAAAATTTTCATTAATATTACACTAACCTTGCAAAAATACAACATATAGATAATGAACTCAAATATACAATTAGAAAGAACTCAAATATAGCTAAAAACAAAATAAATACCACGATTCATAAGAAAATTCACATCTTTTACCCTAACATTTTGGCAACCATAGATAATGAAAGACTTGTTCTTTGAACTACTCTAAACACCATAATTCATATTAAAAAAATCCAAGTTTTTTAAACCATTAAATCAACAAATATGCAAGTACCTTCCTAGATGAACTGGCTGAGCAGCAAAATCAACCGTATTAAGTTTTGAACTTTTGGATTCTTCCATTTGATGCAGAGATTTGGGTTCTAAATCCACATTCATAACTCTATTTCCATCTAACCAAACAGCCCTTAATTGGATAAAATTTTTATATTTTTACACTCACGAATATGCCAAGCAGAATTAACAAGGATTATATCCACATGTGTACCTCCCTCAAAACAGTCTCAAATCCTAATCCCCGCCATAAATTAAAAAAAGAAAATCCGACGGCCAGAAACACTCCAAACCGAGCACACGGATCGCCATCTCCGACCGTCCATTCAAAATCCCCAAATCAACCAAACTCCCGCAAAAAGCACCTCCGCCCCAAAATTTTTTTTCTTCCAAACCCTATAAAAATCCTCCAATTCTCTCCCCCAACCCCAATCATCTCTCACCCTCCCCTCTCTTAAAACCCAAAAGCCCAGGTCCAATCTCAACAGACCGACGATGTCAGGCCGAGGAAAGGGCGGCAAGGGCCTGGGCAAGGGCGGAGCAAAGCGCCACCGCAAAGTCCTCCGCGACAACATCCAGGGCATCACCAAGCCGGCGATCCGCCGCCTCGCCCGCCGAGGCGGAGTCAAGAGGATCAGCGGGTTGATTTACGAGGAAACGAGGGGGGTTTTGAAAATTTTCCTCGAGAACGTGATCCGCGACGCCGTGACGTACACCGAGCACGCCAGGAGGAAGACGGTGACGGCGATGGACGTCGTTTACGCTTTGAAGAGGCAGGGCAGGACTTTGTATGGATTTGGTGGTTGAAAGCCTGAGTCCTTTTTTTTCATAAATGGTGCTTTTGATGTTAGTAGATTTATTCGGTTTGTTCTAGTTGTAGTATTTGGATCCATGTGTATTACTGGAGTTTATGTTTAATCATGCGAAATGCTTGAAAAATTTACTGAAAAATTGGTTAATTTCACGAAAACCCCTGAACTCTCGGGGTGCTTGTTCTCAACCCCTGAAGCATGTGTTGTATAGCAAGCATTGTGCGGACTGTCAGCAAATCTGATACCATTTGTTAGTGAGTTATAACATGATTGGGGTTTATTGTTTAATATTTTTCAGCCTGCGATCTCATAACAATCCTTTTATTTTTGTAAACCTTTTCTTGTGGCAGTGACTCTCACCTCGCTGCTATTGGTTGGAGGCTGTACAAAGGTGGGGTCAATTTTGTTGTTGTTGATCTCAGTTTGTTGGTGCTGTCGTTTTCAACTCAATTAATTAGCACTGCTGAAAGGGGAGCACTTACGTTACGTTTTGATGGTGATGTCAGATTTACTGTATCTCTTGATTGATCTTTGTTGCTGCTGTAATTATCACTTATTAATTGGCACCATCAGGAATATTTTTTTTGTCTCTCTTGGATGGATGTGAAATTGCTTGTTTGCATAACCTACCGGTTGATTCATTGATATATATTTAACAAGGTATCATTGATTCATCATCGTATTCAGTGGAGACGGTCTATAGTTATTTTGAACTAAATGAATGCCAATTATTGGATTCGTGTACGGTCAGATGTTTATTGATTTAACGGTTGACATTCATTTAGTGCGTGTTTAATGCCATGCATCCGGGATTATTTGATATCTTCTCATCATTATGCTCATAGAGACTGATATTTTCAATTATTATCATTATATTAGGAAAAGAACTAATTATTGATTAGCAGATGATTAGACTTAACACCCACATTCTCTCTTTAACAGCATGCGAGGAAGAATATTCCGACACGAACTTTACTGCATATAGCAGTAGTTTCATTGGTTCTTTCTTGTTAGGTTGTTTCTAAATCCTATTGGGTTCTGACATTTGTGTGAGAGAAGACAGAAAACGGAGAGGGATACAAGGTTTTAATGATGCTGACTTACTGGAGTCATTGATGAAGGTTATTGTTGTACTTTAATCTATATAGTTAAGGGTATACCGTGGTTGGGTAAGTTATTTGGACTCTAAGAGGGGTTTTCCCCCAAACAACTTACAACATTTTCACCAGGGATGCTAAACCGTATTCGTATTTGAGAAAATATACGTTGTCAGGTCTCATGTTTATGAGCGTATTGTCTAATCAATTTGATGATTAACAAATAATTACTAATCTTGTTTTCTAGTATTTGTATTTTCCTCCAACATCCATCCAGGTAGGAGGTTGGATGGACTTGAGCTTTAACGATGATTTTCATGGAGGTTGGAGGCAATCGGAATGAAGCACAATGTCATTCAAGTCAAAGATTCTCAATTGCGCTTCATCCATGCTACCAAGATCGAGTTTCACGAAGATTTCTAAACTTGGTATAGTATGTTAGTGTTGGACGCAAAGTCACGCCCACCGCCGCGGAAGCGATATCACCTGAGAGAGAGCCCTGGCTTTTGTTGTCACAAAAGCACAAGTCAACCTCTATATTCTTGTTTTTCAAAGGAAACGAGAATAGATAATAAAATTCTTATTTCTCAAAGGAAAGAAGAATCGAAAGTGATATATTTTATCAAAGTGAAATATACACTCTTCCTCTCATCAGCTCTAAGACCGAATATTGAGGGAACCTACAAGCAGTAGCCAACAACCCAGAAAACAGTAAATACACGAGATTTACGTGGTTCGGCAAAATTGCCTACGTCCACGGGAGGGGTGAGGGGAGATTCCACTATAAGGAGAACACCGACGACTTGTAGAATCCACAAGCTCGTCTCAAAAAGAAAAGAGATCTGATTTTTACCCAAAAGAATTAACCTCTCTTTTGTAAATCCCTCAAAAAACTCTCTCCTTTTATCTCTCTGTTTCAATTCTCTGCTTAGACGCCAAAAGAAAAGAAGCAAAAAACCCTTGTTTTTCCCCTGCAGCCTTTTCCCGCAGCTTTTCCCCTTATCTCTCTGTTCCCACACAAAACCCTAGGTACATTAGGCTATATATATAGAAGCAAATGCGGTTATAAGCCCAACGAAGAAAAAATAAATGGGCCTTGGCATTTACCCGCTGGGCATTGGCCAAAAGCACCTCACGCACACTTGGGTGGCCCCCACTTTCCACCGCTGTTCACAATTCTCCACCTCGTACATCATTTGATAAACCTCAAATTATGGACGAATACCAGAAGAACACCGCGAACATCACCGGAGATATCTCCATTTGGCCAAACCAGCTGCGCCACTTTACCGTGGCTGCCTACGTACCCTCCACCGGGATCAAGCTAACCGTAGTTCATAATTTGTTCTCCATCATAGTCTCCACCTCACCCCATCACCGCCCCGAAGGGCCATGCCCTCTTGGGCAAATCAACACGGGCTGATATGAAGCAAGTCCAAGCAATGCTTAAACTTGCTACCTGTGACCACCTTGGTCAACATGTCTGCTGGATTCTCATTCGTGTGCACCTTCATGAGAGAAATATCACCTTCCTCTATGACATCCCGCACAACCTGTAACATCGATCGCCAACTAACTGGAGCTCCATGTACCTTGAATACATAACCAGTAGTAGATCGCCATCTATCTAGATCTCCCGCATAATCAGAGTCAACAAACCCATTAATCTGACATGTATCTCCACCAAAACACAGACCCGTGTTCACGGTACCTTTCAAGTACCTCAGGACCCATTTCACCGCTTCCCAGTGCGCCTTTCCCGGATTCGCCATGAACCTGCTGACCACACTAACCGCTTGTGAAATATCTGGACGTGTACACACCATGGCGTACATCAAACTGCCAACTGCACTAGCATAAGGAACACGCTCCATGTGTGCCTTATCTTCCGCTGTAGTGGGAGATTGTTTACCTGAAAGCCTGGAGTGTGGAGCCAATGGGGTCGCCACTGACTTAGCACTTTGCATCCCGAACCTCGTGATCACCCGCTCTATATAGCCCTTCTGACTCAAGAACAATCGCCGATTCGCCCACTCTCTTCTAATCTCCATACCCAGTATTTTTCTAGCAGCGCCCATGTCATTCATCTCGAACTCTTTACCAAGTTGAGATTTCAACCTATCTATCTTCACCCCGCTCTTAGAAGCAATAAGCATGTCATCCACATACAAAAGGAGATAGATATAATCACCTCCATGAAGCTTCCGAATGTAAACGCAACAATCATAATCGCTTTGGGAAAACCCATGCTTCAGCATGAATGAGTCAAATCGCTTGTACCACTGCTGAGGAGATTGCTTCAGTCCATAGAGTGACTTCCTCAAGCGACATACATGATGCTCCTTATCCTCAACCTTGTAACCCTCAGGTTGATGCATGTAGATCTCTTCATCCAAGTCTCCGTGCAAGAAGGCTGTTTTAACATCGAGTTGTTCCAGCTCAAGATCACCATGAGCAACAATACTCAATAGCACCCGAATAGAAGTGTGTTTCACCACCGGAGAAAAGATCTCATTGTAATCCACACCCTCTCTTTGTGCAAACCCTTTAGCCACTAGCCTCGCCTTGTACCTTGTACCATCGAGCTCTGAAGGATCTTCCTTTCTCTTATACACACACTTACAATCAATAGCTTTTCTTCCTACGGGCAATGGGACCACCTCCCATGTTTGGTTCTTCCGAAGAGATTCCATCTCCTCCTCCATCGCAGCCAACCAACTCTCACTATCTTTATCCCGAATAGCTTCCTTGAAGGAGACCGGCTCATCTTCCTCCACCGAGAGTGCGTATTCAACCAAATTAACCTGCCCATAGTGCTTCAGGGGTTGATCAGCCCCCAGCTTCTGTACCTGCTTGTATGCTCGCTTTGGCCTAGTGGAAGCCAAAGTATCCTCGAGCTGCTGTTGTTGCAGTGCCTGTGTATTCTCCTGCTGA